AAGTAGTCATGGCTTGAAAACTCCTTAGCAGGAACAGAACATAAAGCAATCGGTGTTGGGTGAGGGAGAACGAAACATTTCTTCGTTGCTATTAGTTTGTCAAAATAGACGGTTCAGGATTGTACTTGAATCCAGTTGTCTCATTCACCTTACCAGTCCCACTCGCACTATCTACTGAAACTTGTACACGCGGCTTGGACATGGTACTCTTATCTCAATGGTTAGCTTTAATCGTGTTCCACCTCCGGCGTTCATTATAAACAGTGCCACTTTCCCACCGTTTACCTTGTTTTCGGCAAAATCAAATTTATTCTCTGGATAGACAATCTAGCTCGTTGATTATAAACAACCTTTCATTTTAATCTCAGAATTGGTTGATTTGAACCAATTCGATTCCAAAGTTCATGCTCAGAATTTGAAAATGCGTTATATGTTTACACAGGAAAACCCGAAATTTGCTTTCTGTGAAGTTGTTCATATGCGATATATTTTTTTACCACTCAACCCCCTTTCGTTATTTGCAATCAATTTCATTTTAGGCTCATATTTATCTGCCCGGGTAGCACCTCGTTTTATTCAACTTTTCATTTTCATCCACTTTTCTATTTTGTTTGTTTACTACTTTAGGAATCGTTTTCGTCCTGCTTATGTCCCGCTTCGCATACTATAGATAGACATCCTCGTTCACAGACCGTGCAATCGGTGTGCGATAAGATAACGAATCGATTGATTATCTGTCTTCAACCACTCATTCAGCCTACCAATCAATCAATCAATCTTCCTTTTTCTCCGCCGTTCCAGGTTTCCGAATTGCTGGTCACGTCTGTGCTCCCTACTCAGTGCAATGTCAGACTCACTACGTTTGTTTGCTTGTTGCACCGGACCCAATTCATCCCATACGAGTGCGGAACTTTTGAGATGGCAACGCAAACGGAACCGGGAAATTGAACGGGATTTGAAAAAAGAAAAAGACAAACTTCGCAGACGCCAAATGATTCTCTTGCTCGGCACAGGTGAGAGTGGGAAGAGCACGTTTTTGAAACAGATGAAAATTATCAATGGCAAACGATTCTCCGTGAAGGAAATGGAACAATTGAAGGATATTATCTACGACAACATTTACAAAGGTGTACTCTTTTTACTCCAAGTAAGTTTGTACTCGGTCCTCCCACCGAATCTGGTAACAACCTGCATCATTCTAGTCCCGTGTCGTTCAGCTTATCTTACAGGTGACATACGTGTCAGTTATACGAAGCCTACCGTGAAGCAGACTTTGGGTCGATTTTCAGTTTTTTTTTTGTGTTTTGTGAAACCAACTTCCTTTGACTCACGTGGTCGCACGAGAGGAGTAGTTGTTCGTCCTCATTTTCTCCTCATCTACTTGCGTTTCGGTTTTCGTTCTGCTCAAATCGTTAGGAAAGTCCTAACAATCACCAACTATTATCATAACGTGTTCTGTGCGGATCGCCATACTCGTTCCTTTTAAACATACAGTCGGCAAAACAATAATCAAGTTCTATTCTACCAAATTATTCTCAATTATATGTATACATGCACGCATGCCTTCGTGTACTTATCCATCAGTAGGTGTCCCCATACATATACACACAAATCCTACTCTCTTCTGCCTCCCTACAACATTTTCACTGTTGCCGCGCAATGCATGCTAAATGTCCCTCCCCCTCCGCCTCTTAGGTGCTCTGTGAAATGAAATGAGCGGACCTTACCAATCGTTGTCGGGGTTACGTACCGGTTTAAATGTTCAAGCTCTAAACCAAATCTGTTAATTGTTCATCCGTCTACCCTATGCGACAAGCCTCTTTGTGTTACTTCTGAGCTGCTTCGGTAGACGAACAAACTGGGTATGGGCCCTTTATGTTTTTCTGGAAGTCACACCGCTTTATAAATGGCACACTAATACTGATAGGATTAGATAAGTTATTACTTCTTAGAAAGAAATCGATTACCGTTGTCAATAATCTAAATGCTAAGATTTTCAGCTATTCATATATTCTCAAGTTTTTCAGGTCGCTTGCGTTCTGTCTAGAATAGAATCACAAATTTGGTCAATTAAGTGCACAATTACATATACAAACACCACAGTGTACTACACTTAGCCATTTAACCAATCGCTTCAAGGTTATCGAATGGATCCCAATCAAATCTGTGGTAGCTAACAAAAAATAATTGCAAAATCTCTCTCATTTAGGCAAATAACCTAACAACAAAGGTTCATTCGGTGGGTTTTAAGGAAAACCTATCGTTGCTGTCATGCATAAGTTAAATTGTGTAATCCCTATGTATAAAGTCAGTGGCATCGTGGTTCATTTGAGAGAGCGTGTAGCACAAAAGCGTAGGCGGCGTTCATGCGTGGGTTTGATCCCACCGAGGCTATTGAACTTTTCCCAATTCAAACATAGAACAGTTGTTTTCCGTAATCTGCACAACAATAGAATTTAAACGACCTTAATTACTGAGATATAAGTTTTCTCCGCCAGTCGGATGACGCATTACCTGCTTTCCATTCCCTGAACATTCATTCATTAACCACAATGAGAGAAAACCAAAAAAACAACAATTTTCGGTTGACGATGTTTCGACCCTCTTGGAAGGTTTTTTTTTAAGTCAGTACTTGAAATACTTGAAAAGGCCTTCCAAGATACTCGAAACTTCGTCAACCGAAAATTGTTGTTTTTTGGTCTTCTCTCATTTTGGTCAATCCAAACATTCCTATACGGGTCTAATGTTATCAAATTTATTTTTTATGTGGAGGCCAACAAACAGTTATGGGCAGCCTTGTCATCCGTGTTGGATCGTATCTAAAGTGTATACTGTATTTGTGTCCCTACGGAGACTCCTATCGCGATCCGTCGAATCTTCCCATCTGAGCTTTATGGTTGATGATCCGAACACCTTTGGCGTATGGTAGACGGAAACGGGTATTTCTTCACTTCATTATCTGCACAACCTCGTCGCCACGATGGACTATGCACCGTGCTCGTGGGAGTTCGTTGATTCCCAATACACAGGCTCTGATGTTCACCGATAGGAATTTAAAAAAATGCAATAAAAGTGTTCATCTCTCTAAATTTTTTTACGTCGCTGTACGAAATTTATCGACCAAGAGAAGTGAATCCACCTAAGTGGTAAAATTTCCGCTAATATTTACCCTATTAAGCCAGATTTGCAAAGAGGTCAATCCAATTTTTGATTTTGTGGGTGCATCACGCAAAGCAAATCTAAATTGTGGAAGTTTGCCATATTTCTATCTTATTTCCTACTCTGTAGCGCATTATCTTGCAGTTCACCGCCTACACTGCTTTGTGTTCAGTTAGTAACACTCAAACTGCCTTAACTACACTCAAACCCGGTTCATCACTTGAAACCGCTTATCATAACATTCATTACGAAACGTGATACTTACCACCGGAATCTGAAAACCGATCTAGATCAATGGAAAATAACATATGCGCATGTATGTGCATAAAGCACATCATCTTGACTACTTTACGCATCACTTACAAAGAATCATAAAGAACTATCTGCTTTGCCTGCCGTAGTTCTCGAAGGAAGTCATTTGAAGATGAACGGTTGGTGTAAAGGGGATGAAGAACTGAATTTAATCGGTATTCTATCTCAACGGTTCTCCAGACTCGGGTCCTGACAATTCTCTCTCTCTCTCAAAATGTTGAACAATTTCATATCGTAATCTCAACTGTAATTTTCTAGTCAGACTGTTCAGGTGAGACGCGCATAAACCGTGGGTTTTTTGTGTGTTAACCATAATGATTCATTCTGTTCCCCTCATTTTCAATATGCGTGCTTTGCGTGGGATGTATGCTTGAAAACGAAATTGGCCTATCTGTATCTCGCATAATGATTTTAGAAAAATAAGTGTTGTATTGTAGCCTGCTGAAATTAATGATTCGCGTGTGTTGTTCTCGCGTCCAGCATTTCAATTGCACTGTTCTTTCTCTCACTCCGAAGCCCCAGTTACAAACCGTTTCCCGGATATTTTTTTTATTTCTTATATGTAGTATGCCCCCCTTTCATGTGATGGAGTATGCTGCTTTTTTAACTATAGTTTGATAGGCGAAGAATGCTACTTGCGTTCTGTTTGAAATACTCATTAGAGTAATTGTTTATAGGAAGTCGTGGAGGCTTAAACAATTGCGTTCACTTACTTCGCGGCCAACACTTAATTAGAGTTCAATGAAAGAAACTTGACCAAACGCAACCTTTTTTCGGGATTTTACTTAGTTTCCAATCCGTTTCGTGATTCAACCCCTCTGCTGTTATTTACACTGGCTAGTAGAGAGAAGCTACACACAGTTTCAATTACAAAATGTTTCGTTTCTTTCGCGATAAATCACGTGAGATTTAGCTTCCGGCCTCCCTTCAACGATTCACAGACTGGTCTCATGGAATACAGTACTTACTAAATTCACATAAGCAGCCTTACTGTAGTCCGCCGTACTACGACGCCTAATCCAGTTGGTCCTTATGGGGTTCGCCGCTCCAAGTCCTGGAACATGTTGCCTAATTCCACGATAACAACAGCTGGTCTTTGGGACTCTAAGTTGTGCGATAAAATCGGCAATTCATCTTAGGAGACCGCCTTCACTTGACCAAAGATGATGAATTATGCCCAGTTGTAAGTAAGTGAAACAATTTATAAATCTTCATTTTTATTAGTATACTGAACTTAATATAAGGAAAACTTTTAACATATCATGATTATCATCATCATGGTACAATGAGATATAATGAAGTGAACTTCACTGATCGCTGCGAAGCTCACAATGTTCAGAAAGTAAGTGAAAACGGGCAAAATGGATAGGGATTGGACCCAATTGGAGAAGGGCAAAGAAAGTGAACCTCTGTAGGCAACAGAGTGCACAGCCGAACTGTGCTTTTAAACATTTCCAGGCGTTCTAACCAGAAAGGAAACGACAACAAGTGGGACAGGTAAGCAAGGGCATCCAGGGTACCGCGGGAATGGGTGTATGCCTCGTTTCCTTGTTATCTGTAGATCTCGGTGTGATTTCCTCAGACCTGAAGTTCCAACTGCAAATAAGGCGCGGTAGACGACGACTGGACATGCGCAATGCTTGCCCAAACCAGCAAAGCCTACTAAACTGATTTAGATGTAATAACGAATCCTCATGATTGTATCTTAGCGTTGTTTACATGCTCACTAAATTGTGTAAACATCGACAATAAAAGATTTACGGACGCTGATTATATTCCACGCGCCAATGGATGCTCTCGCAACCGTAAATGATAACTGACCGCACAATTGCACGGTATACGCAGTCTTTCAGTTTCAAGGAAACATCGTGTCAGCACCAAACGTGTTTCCGTTTTGTGTACGTTGTCGGTGCCTTGGAACTGCGAGTAGTTACTTCCTTGACTATGCTACCATCATTTGTCACGCCACCACCTAAGTAGAAGAAGCAATTCAACATAACCAGTTCCTGATCGATAAGTATCGGGTTTAGGGTAAAGGACATCCAGTCTTACTGCATAACTTCTTACTTTGAAGGTGCGAAGCTCATACCAGATGGAGCCACTTAATTTGAATGTCTATCATGAGCGCTTTGCGCATCCTCCATACATTTAGACAGATAAACAATGTCTTCAGCGTACCCTAAGTCGCACAACTTTTCTCCAGCTGCCCACTCAATGCAAACATTTTGAAGATCGATTTGGTCGGAGTCCTTGCTTTTCGTGAATGTTTATCTCCCTTAAGTATGTCACGCGATTACAGATCACCAGAGTTAGCACTTTTGTGATGATCAAAGCTAAACCTATCCCATCTTTACAGTCGTTGCGGATCGTTTCCTGATGATCGGAGCGGTCAGTGATCCACCCCAGGATAAATGGACACATTTACAGAATTGGTGAACTAACACTTTTTGATGTTGTGTGCTTTCATAAGACTAGATCTGTGGGCTAGCCTCGGATCGCACAAACGAACTTTCACGGGTATCTGAACTATCATCGAGGCTTCAGCTCTATCAGTTTGTTCGATTTTCACTTCAAG